AGTTTCACAGGCTAATCTAACCTTCAGACCAGTAACATGATCTGAAGGTAAGAGATGCTCACCAGAGGAGCGTTGGAGCTCGCTGTTACATTGCCAAGCTTCTTACGCAGCTCGTCCAGCTCCTGCATGGACATCTTGGTGCTGGTTTGAGGCAGAGAGTAACTGGTTGTTGTGGTTGAGGTGGTGTTTGCTGAAGACTCCGACCTCTCTTTAGCATTCTGCTGCAGAAACTGGAGGGTCTGCAAAAAAAATATAGGCAGGGATGCAAAATTAGATTCAAGTATTTTATCAACCAACTCTCTGATGGAGGGACATAAATCAGCAAGTTTCTTACTTCATAGAGTAGATTACATTTTTTAAACTACTTTTCAACATTAATAATAAGGAAATAATTGTGATTTTAGATCATGAAGTATAGAAATATTTGGACTCTATAACAAAAAGAACCGGATGAAAAGCAGCATGTAAATGAGGCATTACCTCTTTGTCCTCACAGAGTTTTGAGAGCAGATACACCAAAGGGTCGAGGTTCCGAACATTTTTGGACTTAAGCTCCTCATATTTCCTCAAGAAATCCTCCGGGGTTTTAGAAAACTCTGCTAACTTGACCTGAAAGTGACACAACATGCAATATGAAGAAAATATTCAAAGAACCATATCTGTTGTGAACATTAGGTATTTAACTACTTAGAGTACGTTATAAACTTTAGCGTTAGGGAAGTGATGAAGTGATCGCCACTGCAAACAAGAAAGGGGCTCAAGGTGGTGGTGGGATTACATCCCTGACAAGACTTCTCAACCAATCCTGACTTCCTCATGCATTACCACAAATTCTCTCTTAGTACCTTATCATATACTTTCTCTAGATCTACAAAAACACACAGTTCAGTTCTTTCTGAACTTCTCCATCAACATTCTCAAAACAAGCATCCCGTCTGTACTGCTCTTTCTTGCTATGAAGCCATACGTTCCATTCCCCAGGCATCCTTTCATGCTACAAGATTAACTTCAATACTCTGTCATTGGTATGTCAGGTATGTCATCTGAACCAAGAGCCTTTTTACTCTTAATCCATCCATTGTCGCCTTCACTTACTCCTTACTAATCCTCTGCACTTCCTGATTTCCTACCTGTCCCCCATCTATCCCATCATCCTCTCTCCTCATTTTCTTCATTCATAAGAATCTTAAAGTACTCCTTCTGCCTCCTCACCAAACTCCCTGTACTCATTAGTACATGTGAAATCTGGAAGGACTGCCGGTCATAATGATGCATTTGGAAATTTTGCTAAAGTTAATTGCGAGATGAATGTCTCTGGGAGGAGTTAACAAACATTACTATGGTGCCAAGTGCAGAAAAACACTCCTTCTGAGAGCCTTTGTCTGCTGTAGTCTGACTGCGTGTCTGATAAGAGGACGGATGCAAATTAAAAACTAAATTATCAACTGATGAGCCATGAAAAGCACTGCAGTGAAACACAGTGCAGTGCAGTATAGCCCACCTTGGCACTGTGCGCGGACACTGTGGTGGTGACATAGGGGGTCCTGTGTTTCTGGAGCAGGTCTATGTAGCCCTCTGCTCCGTCGCCGCCTCGCACATGAAGGAGGCTGAGCAGTTCGTTCACGTCGTGGTGGATCCTGAACTCGCTCATGGCTCCAGCAGCGGCTATAACGTCAAAGAGGTTTTATTTTGTAGGAGAGGACAGAAAGAAAGAGAGAGAATTTGGCTCAGGCGGTCACAATGGATATGAACATCGGAGCTGCCGGCTCACACTGACAAACATCAGCTGAAGCTTAGTTGAGGGTTTAACGGCTGTATGTTTATGACATCCTGTCTTTCAGTGGTGATGCAGAGCTAACAGTTGTTTACGCTAGCTGGCTAGTTAGCCTGCTACAGCAGGGGGATGCTCTCTAGTAGCTCTCTGAGCCAAATGAAACATGAAATGCCATAAAAGCAAACAATAACGTAACTCAGTAACATGAAGCCTTGTTACAGGTTTAACTAGAGTCTGAAGTCATCACTCTACCTGGCACTCGCCTTTCTGCAGCGATCACCGGGGCAGATAGCAAACGCGCCCACTACTATCAAATTCTTCTTCTTCTCCAGCAGCGCAGTGACGGCGCCACACTGACCCCTACAGGTCAGTGACCTTGTGACGCCTGACCATACAAAAATAGCTAGAAAACTATGTATTTATTTATTTAAACCGGAGTGTATATTGAATATTCTGACAAATAAAAAAATTAATTAAATATAATTTCACATATATTAGTTAAAAATTGTAAAAGTATTGCTTATGAAATGTATTGTGCAATTTATTCATGTTTGTCAGGAAGAAAAAAAAATCACACTGATAATGCAGAAGTTTCAAAATCTCACAAAAATAATATTTCAAATAAGATTAGGTTAATAGGTTAATAATATCTTAATGCTGGGGCTGAAAGTCGAATTGTAATACAAATAGGAATATAATAACTACTTTTAAAAATCAATTTGGCAAAAATCTATCAATCATAAAACAGGCATTTTCTCTAAAATCACAATACTGCTTTTGTTACTGTACTTGAACCCGGGTAGATGTCTGCTTATGTGTAAGTTTGTGGATTAACTGCAGCTACTATGATGCTGACCAAGTTTAGAACCAAAACAATTTTAGTTAACTAAAATACAAATAAAGATAAACTTCTGATAAAGAATTAAAACTCATTGAAAAGAATTTGTGAACTAAAAAAAACTAATTAAAATAAAATAAGAGGAACTAGCCTTAGTTTTAGTATCTGTTATTGAAAAATTAATATAAATCAACCTACTGTTTATGATAATGTGAAAACAGCAGAAAACATAATTTATTTTAATAAACGCACTAACAATTTAATTCTTTAACTAATGGAAGTAAATCAAATATTAGGGTCTCTAGTTCACTAAGATATCATGGGATCGTGTGTACTTCTTTCACGCAGAAGCGGAGATCCACGACCAAAGAGACTTCCTCATTGTTACCCCTGCCCAGCATTGTGGGCTGAATGTAGAACCAGAGCTTCTGTCACTGGAGGTGCTCCAGCTGTGTGACCAGAATCAGATATTCCTTCATCACCATCCTCATCGCCGCTGTCAGGGCGTGGTTCACCTGGCCGTCCTGAAAGGATGATTTCTCCTCAATCAAACTCGAGGAAAAATGCAACACGTCGCCTTTAATAATCACTTAATAATCACCACTTTAAGCAAAGATCACATGATTCTGAATTATTTTTTATTTATGTAACTTTTCGGGCTGTAAATCGCTGTCGCTTACATTCACAGTATCAGTTAATCGTTAAACATGACGTTGAAGTGGATGAGGAGCAAAAAAAATGATAAACGGATTGATAACTTAAAGTTACCATAAACTGATAACCTGAAGTACAAGTTAACAAGGCAATGCTAATCCTCAAATCCGCCAAAATCCTGTACAGACCTCTGCTGAATGATATGACCGTATGTATGCCCTCATAAGAAAGGATTATGGTCCCAAAGAAAATTTTAACCACGCACATGGATTCAGTAGTTTCGTGTTTTTCTGTTTGATTTGGCCTCTTCCGGAAAATTTAGTCTATGACAGAAAAAGGAAACATGAAACCTCTCCTGAAACCAAACTGATTTTCTGAGACTTACTGAAAGAAACCCAAAAAGTTGGTTCTATTCATCTGCACGTTTTGTTTTCAGTGGGAGAAACGTTTCGTCACTCACCCAAGGGACTTCGTCAGTATCAGCTGGATGCAGGTTTCCCCAACCTTAGTTATAAACAATACATTTGCATAATGACTGAAACAAGCACCACTGACGAACAATGGGCTGTGAGGTCAGTCTCCTGATCATTAATATGCAAACCGTCATAACCAAATAGGAACAGAACCAAGTTTTTTGAGATTTCTTTACCTGGACAATTGCGCATGCATCAAGGCAGTCTAGTGGTTGTTTAGGGTCACGACCACTAGGAGGTGGGGCATGATTTTCTGTGTTGCTAGCACGCACTGTGCTTGAAGCGCTTTTACATGTAAATAAAAGTTCTGTTACATTTAAGCCCTTGATGAGTTCACACAACGCTAAACAAGCCTATCAGGACATGTTAAGTATCTGTGTAGTTTACATGGAGAGATTTTAGATCCCAAGTATCTCCCGACTTTGCAGTACTTCAGCGGGTTGGGAAGCTAACTTCCGGTTAGCTCTAGCGTCTACGTAGTTGAGCAAGATCAGAACAGCGCCATCATAACTCTACATCTCGATACAGATTAGCCTAGAGTTTCATAGATGGCTACTAAAAAAAATTAGGAGAGGGCCTCAAGGACGAAAAACTTTTTTTTTTCGAGATAGACAAAAAATGTATGTATGGATTTATTTTTGACTCTACCTGAATGAATTTGACAGTTTTGTTTCCTACGTCAAAGTTATGTTTGAACATATTTAACAGCCACAGTTAATATGAACCTGGTCTGCTGACGTAATCATTGAAGAGTCTGAATCATTTGTTTCTGAGAACATGCTTGTTTTTGTCAGCTTGTTAGCTTACCCAAGATGAATTGTAAACATAATTAATAACCAAATAACATGTTTGATTGTATGGCTAGTTTTAGTTGTAAGCTACTTACTTAGCTATTTTGTATGTGTGTCTGTGCGTGTATATGTTTGTTCGTTTGTTGTTTGTGTTGTTTTACAACTTAGAGTTAGCTATTAATTTTGAACAAATTAAATTAAATATAGCCACAGTAATTTTCAACTGCAAGCAGTGGCTAGAAAGTCATGAATTTATTATATGTTTATTATTCATTCATAATGTGTTTTTATTAGAACAAGCTTTACTTGCTATTTTACTGCCAACTTAAGTAGAAGTGCAACATCATTTATAATTTATAATAGCTAGCTTTTGTTTGTTACCTAGAACTACATTTACATTTTATATAAACCTATGAAATGTTCAAATTGTCACAAATTCTTCCAGGTAAACATTAACTTTCTAACTATATTTAATTTTAGATCCTATTTGAACATACTAATATTCAAGGATCATTTGCATATTAAAAATACATTTGTTTTGTGGTTAAAGTATAGACCTAATTCATATAATGTACCTAATTAATTTCATCCACCCTATGTATAAAAATAATAATCTAATATATAAAATTCTCAGGGTCATTACTGGAGTATTTTGGAGCTTCTTCTGATACGACAAGCACATCTACCACAGCTGACATGACTGCTGACATCATCCAAAACTTCAGAGTCATCTGCTCCCTCCCCGAACATAGCTGAGGACTATACTGAGGCACCACAGGCTTCTACAGCTTTCTCCGACATAACTTCAGAGGTATGTACTGGGGTCTTTGCTGTTTCTAGTTTGTTTGTATGTGTTTGTCTTCATCTAGTTGAAAGCAGTGTGCGTGATTTGGTGGATCTAAATGGTAAATGGACTAGAGCACTCAAAGTGCTGTGCGTGAAGAGCTCTGGGGCTACATATAAAACCTTGTTTAGGACCACCAAATCCTAGAGCCAACCCTGGAAAGGGGTCAGTGCAGCATAAATGGTTTAGGACTATTGATACTGAACAGAAAGATGGATACAAACATTGTCTGCTTTTTCAAGGTAGTTGAGGACCTTCTCAATGGTGTCCAGTCTGACTAACATTTGTGAAAATGAAAACGTAATGCCTCCCCGTCGGGGAATCGAACCCCGGTCTCCCGCGTGACAGGCGGGGATACTCACCACTATACTAACGAGGAAGGTGCCCAACAAGTTTTATGTTGCAGTAC